CCATTTGTCATCTACAAAATCCATTTCCTTGTTCAGGAACAGTCTTGTAGAATCTGATCAATTAAAGTCAATAAGACCCTTTCTACTGAATTAATGGAGCTCTAAATATTTTAATTTTATATTCTAGCAAATGATGATTAGTGGAACAACCAGGACACCATGCACTGTTGTTGTAAACCTGACAGCTACCAACAAGTCCTGAACTAAGCTTTTAAGCATCTCTAGCTAATACTTCTTTTCATTGTATGAATTTAAAAAGAACAAACCCTGAGCTTTGTTAGCAGCTCCAGTCCAAATTGCAGGGCTTCCTACTGTCATGAATGAGAATAAGAACATCCTCTTCTCCTGAAAGAAGTACAGCACCTGAGATGACTGATAACAGTCCTGTTACTATTGTTATTCACTAGTCAGAATATGAGAGTCTAGACCCAGAAAAAGCCTTCATGATAGTACAGAGGACTATAGAAATCGGGGAGTTTTATGAAAGCTCAGCAGTTCTCCAAAGGTTTGTGTTGCTCTATAAACCAAGATTTCTCCTACCTCCATTCTGTGCTCTTAAAAGGTCTCTAGCCTCCCCATTTATTGTTCCCTTTAAGGAAAAATCTTCCAAAATTCAGAAAGACAGTTCAGAGAGCTGCCCTGTGTGAACCACCTGTGGTTTAGTGACCTCAGTAATAAAGTCATGTTTGAAGATAAAACTGAGGTCCCCAAGTCGTTTTGAATCCCTTTGGAGGTATTACCTCAGCTCTTAACTGTATGCCATCAACATTTCGTATGATGCATGGGAAGGTATTTAAACACAGTTTCTGCCACGCTGCTCCATTGTATAAAATACAAGTGTGAGTGGAAGGAAGCTGTGCTGATGGAGCTCCCCTCCAGTCTCTGCTGGCAGCCCTCAGGAGAACACGGTGGCCCTTGTTTTCCATTCAGTGGATGAGGCTGACCTTACACTTAATTAATGGCTCAGCCATGAGTGGTTAATGAAAATGCTCCTAAAGCAAACTCATGATTGCATTTTTAAAATCCCTGTCTACCAAAATTCTGTATTGGTTTCAGAATTGCTCAGTATTGTCATTTAAATGCTATAATTGCCCATTCGTTGTCCTGAACACAACTAAATCAGAACTTCATTAATGCCGTTTTAAAGCACTGTGATTTCACTGATGTTGCTGGCACAAGATCCAGCCCGAGGCTCTTCAAAACCAGCCTTTCCAACAGCAAGTGATTGATGACAGGGTAGGAGGAAATGAGTAAGAAGCTGAGAGAAGAGGTAGAAGGGCTGAGAACATGATGAAAAGGTAGAAAACCAGTGTCCCTACACCCAGGTCAGGCTGCGCCACTGCTGACTTCAGCATATGGGTGAAGAGCAAGGTCTCCTGTGCTGTCACACAACTGTTTTGCACTGTGGCTACATGGGACAAAGTCTTCTCCATATATAAAGGGTAATTTTAGTTACTATTTCTCATATATTATCCTTACATGAATTTGAGGCAGATGGATCCTGTTTATACATAACAAAGGAGATTCTCAGCAGCTGTACATTGGAAAAACTACACTGATCGTCACAAACTCTGCCAGTTTACTCTAGTTGAAGATTTAGCCCAACAGTGGTAATTCAGGAATCACTGAACAACTTGGGAAAAAACAAAATCTATTGTCATTTCCCATTGTAATATTAAGTATACAAGACTGAACTTGATGGGAAATTTAATTCCAAATGCTGGATCTATCCTCTGTATATCACTTAAGTACATTACTCTTGCTCATGTACAGCAGACCATACTGATTTTGGTTTCTGCCCCCTTTTATATCAGTGGGACTATTCACCAACTGATTGTGTAAGCAGTGTAGTAACAAGTTGTAGTCTCTCGAGTTCATGACTGACATGGACAAAATGATGCTTATTTGGAGAGGATATTTTCAAAGAAAGTAAAGATGCCTAGATAAGCGACTTGCCATGAAAGCCAGGGTGCTCTGGGCATTCATCTCCCATGGAAGCTGTTGAAAATCTACTAAAATGAAAAAACAAACAAAACAAAGCCTAAAATACATGAAAAATCACTACACCTGCAATCATTTACAGTGATTGCAAACAGGTATATATGTTGCTATTCTGAAAAGCGTAAGCAAAAATCTTCCTAGTCCACTCTGCAGCCCCTCAGTTGGGCTTCTGGTATTGGACCATGTACATTTCCCATTGCAGCTGGCTGATTTAAAGTTGGACAAAAATTCTGTTCTGAAAGTGCAAAATATTTTTAAATTTTATTTTAAATTTATCTTGGAGTGCTTCTCCCTCGTCACAGCTAGGACTGTCTGAGGTGAGATGTAAAGGACACGTTGTGTCTCATTCACACGGCCTCGCTAGGGCAGGCAAGAAAGTGAGGGGCAGAGGACAGGTTCCCCCGAGTTTGTGTGGCGCCTTGATTCAGAAAGTGTTTCAGCAAAAATAGTGGAGGAGAGAAACAAGGGCCTGACCTCAGACACATCACTGGCTGCATTTCAGTGAAAAGTGGGAATTGCCTCATCTATGCTGGCCATTGCCATTGCATTCAGTTATATACTGAGGGTAGCGTGGCAATTTTAAGCATGAAATTGCTTGCTTGTCCCGAAGGAAAACCTCAGAGCTTCCTTGCAGAGACAATGCAGAAAGGATGACATTAAGGGAACTACAGCTGCAAAGAAGAAAAAATCCCTGTCTGTATCAGGCTTTATATACCTAAACTGTTAGTACTGAAAAAATAAGCAAATGACTGAGACACATCTGTTTTCTGACTTGTCACAGCTTGCTGCTGGTCTCGATAGTTCATATCGAATCCTAATTATCACTTTAATCAGTTTAATCTGCAACAACTCTACAGGCTTCTGATTTTCCATGTGAGAACAGTACCTGGATGTCCCTTATCTTTGTCACAACCAGCCCCATTACACTGCTGGGATTTAGGCGCACCGAAATGTGGCTCAGTGCCAGTGCATGACATGTTACAGGTGACAGCTATCCAAATAATATTAATTATTTCGCACTCGTACTAGAAGCAAACAGAGAATCATATTGACAGGCAACTTGCCAGCATCCCAAACTGCTACCCCCTCATTTCACAGCTGTGGGACTCCCATATTTCACTATCAACCTGCACAACCCACTGCCAGGAAGCCTGAAGACAAACTGTAAGTTTGAATACTGGAAAAGATCAAGAAATAGGCTTTTTCTGTTCCAGAAGCAGAGTATTCCATATGAATTAAATGTGTGGGATTTGCAAAGTGGATGAAGCATTTCCTTTCCTTAAAGGGATCACTTGATAGTACCTGGGAATCCTCTCACCCAATTGTAGCTGTCAAAAATTGTCATTTCTCCGAGGCACCGAGGCTTCCTCAGTAGTAAACTAAAAGAGATGGGCATCTTGACATCATGCTTCATCCTTTGTTAAAACTCATATTTAAGCCCACCTTTTGGAGGTACCTATCTTTTTCCCTTAACTGCAAGGAGGCCTAGACAGGCAGCCAAAGCTTGTGGCATAACTTACGGGTGAAAAAACTGAGGTGAGGTGGATTCCCCCCTTTATGTATATATACAAACAGTAATCAGAATGTATGAAAAGACAGGATCCCTAAAGCTGAAAGTAGCATGTGAGGTTCAGGAGCTGTTATTTGTGTATTAAATATATATATATAAAAACATGCACAAATATATTAATACATTAGCATTTGGGGATTTCCAGTTAAACCAGTTATAGAGTGTAACAAGCCCCTTTTGTCTTTCATAGTAACTATTTTAGTAGGTTCAGTTACACTATACTCATTAATGCTTGCACTGGTTATTTATTTATTAAGCCTTCAATTAATGAGTTAACATTTTAGCAATGCATGGATTATGGTGCATTCTGAGAAATTAATTTTCCCATAGGAATCTGCTGGCACACACAGGATCAGGTCCTATGTCATATAACATCACCAAAAGGCTATCTATCACATGCCATTTCTGTTTATCTACCTCCTTCTCTGATATATATTGTGTTTTCATGCACAACTGCACATAAATAGATATCCATATGCCTACAACATTAACTGGACAGTCAATTCTTCAAAGTGGAAAGTACATAAAATAAGTTTGTTAATCATTTCATAGGGTTTTAGAAAATAAACTGGTACAACTGCATGAAGTGGGGCATTACCATAATACTCTCAGATTATTCACTGAGTTTAAGTAACTTCAGTGTAAACATGGTTCATGACTTTGAGGCATCAGATTAGGTTTCATCTCAATATTACACTGTGTCACACCACACACAGCAAATACCACTAGTAAGAGAAGATATTCCAAGTAGAAATTTATCGTCAGCCTGGGACCCTTGAAAGACTTATGTGAATAAGTGAGATTTAAGGAAAAACTTTGAATTTAAAAATAATGTTGAAACAGGAAATGAAAATGAAAGATTGACTGTCATGTTCTTCTCAGCTGAGGATAAGGGCATTGCAGCTCTCCCCCTAAGTTCCCTGCATGCAGACCTCCTGATGACAGGTCTGTGCCAAGTGGTTATGGGCAGCAAACTGCACGAAGCATCTCCTTTCTCTTGCCAGGATAATTTTGAGGGCAGTAAATGAAATAGCTATAGCCAAGTCATATTGTTAGTTTGTATATGTATGCAGACTAAAAATAGATTGAAAGCAAGGAACACAAATGAATATGTTTCTTAAGTTGTATATCCATGCATTATATATGTCTCTGAAGGGTATGTTTTTAATATGTCTAAGCCAATAGTTTTGGGTTCACAGTAATTGCATACTATTTATTTACAAATCTTCCCCAGCAGTATGTGCCTGTTACCTAAAGCGATGGAGCAGGTCCCGGTCGTATGTCTGTCTCTAAACCTGGGCCAACAGTACATGACATAGCACCCACTGTGGCCTCTGCTCTGTCACTTTGCAATGCGATTCTATGTAGTTTTACTTGAATAACATAAAATAACATATATAATGTTATTTATGTTATTTTCCACGTGAAGAACTCCTGTAAACCTTGCCGTTTTGAAACTCAGTGAGGCAGGCGTCTTAGACAAGCTGAAAAACAAATGGTGGTACGATAAAGGTGAATGTGGACCCAAGGACTCTGGAAGTAAGGTCAGTCGCTGCAGTTCGGGACCTACTATCGTGTTCACAAAGCAGTAAAGGAAGTAATAAACAAAATGACTTAGAAATAAAATAAGCAGCTGTAGACACAGAACGAATCAGCTTTGCCCCATCTTGATGGGGGTCACACTTTAATTTAAAGAAGCACTATTGCTTTTTAAAGTCTTCAGTGATATAAATCACCAAACATCTTCCTACATATTCAGGGCATCTGTTGAAGAGTTAACAAGGCTTTTTTTTTGTTTTGGGGGAGGCAGGTTAGGTTAGTTGTCTCCTTCCTGCCTAAGGGACATGGACTTTCCCACTAACCGCTTAGGAAATGTCCCTTGACACCTTCTCCTTTCAGAGCTGGCCTCCCACAGCAGTTTTCTGAAAAGGCGAAATGCTAGCAGGGAGGATTGCCTTTCATCCCTGCCCAGGCTGGCTGTGCCTGGCTCCTTTTGGGAAGGTCCCTGGCTCCTTGAGGAGCCAAGAAAGACTTAACTTGAGCTTTGAAGTGAAAGGCTTCGATAATTAATAGCTTTCTACAGCTTCCAGTGTTTACCCTAGTCCATTCCCAAACTAATCTTGACAGCTCCAGGGAATGGAGCCTTCTCTATTTCTCTCTATTTGGGGACAAACGCAGAAGCGGGTATTTTCTGATGGCTGGGAAGCACCACTCTCAGTGCCAGCCCTGTATTCAGGGAGCCTGAAATTTCTTCACAGCGCCTGTGTCCGTGCCAGCCTGCGCCGTCCAGAGCTGAAAGGAAAGCGTGACGGGCAGTGACTGCTTGCTTCCTGCGTGCCCTGAGAGTTACCCTGCTGGACAGGGGGCAAAATTAACCTGGGAAACAAACTTCCAATACATCCTGCTTTTTCTGGCAAGTGCTTTAGAGAAAGGAGTGAAAAGCAGTTATGAGGATGGCGGAGCACCTGTAAATGACAGCTGAGAAAGCCTCAACCCACCACCTACATTGGGTCAGGTCTTCCTCAGTCCTGCCTCCTGCTTGTTTGCAAGCACCTTGTTAGCAATTGCCACCAGAGGAACACAGTCGGCTCCAAGATATTCAGAGTCCTCTTAGCCAGCTAAAAAGAGACAGACAAAGCAGAAGCCAGCTATAAGTCCCAAACGCCTCTATAGATCCATGGGAATTGTTACTGTGCTAATCTACTGATTACACAATAAATAGTGCCTCTTTAAATTAAACATCCAAATGTTTTGTGTTCTTTGTAAGTTAAAATTTCATAGAGATTACAATCGGAAGTTAAGTACTCTCCTTCCTTTAGGTAAAGATTATATAGTCTGCATAAGAATAAAGCTTTATAAGTATCCTAAGGTGCACAATGTAGTATATGGAAGTCAATCCTGAGAGTTCCTTGAGAACTGTGCTAAAAATGCACCTGGATTTCAAATAAAAAAATACGGTTCATAACTAAGCAGTGAAGTATAGAGAATAGTTATTTACTACAGTACGTCCAAGAAGGTGATCATTTATGAAATGATGCATATTTAATAATTTGCTAAAGAAAGTTCTCATTGTTGTCTAAATTATGAATAATGCGTAAGATTTCAGAAACTGCTATTTAAAATTTTACTATTACTGAGCCTTAGTAGTCCATGGGCATGTTCCAGAACTGTATCTATAATAAAATAAAACAAAATACAATAATCGGTAAGAGGCAAATATGTCATGGTGTGTATGGTACAGTGTGCACTTTCAAAGGAAGTGTTTGTTCAAAGACATAACTTAAGCCTCACATGTTATTTTCATCTGTTATTTAAGTATCAGAAACTCAGTCTGGATCTTTTAAATTAACAACAATGCCTACCACAAGTACAATTACTGTTTTCATAAAGATCAAGCAGAGTCTTGTCTGATGTAAATGGATTTCTGGATTTCAAAGCTTTTAAAGAGCTTTCCGTAAATGCAGTTTTGTATCAGTGCTAAAACGTCCCCTAAACAGAGCTAGACATGTCATTGTTTAATTCTCCACTTAGTGGAAGTAATGCCTTGCAGTAAGCAAGCAGTGACATCCTGATATGTTGGCAATATACTTGTAATATTTTTTATGCCGACCAGGAAAATTAGGCGCTTAAAATATATCTCACAGATCCAGATAGGTCAAATTTTGTGAGAAGTATGTAAACAACTGTCATTTAATTTCGGCTAAACATTGTTATCTATTTCTATTTCCAATGTTTTAATGTGTAGCTTGTGCTCCTAGCGGTCTGGTTTCCGGGGTTAACTGTGTCGCTTCTGTTTCCCCAGGACAAGACGAGTGCCTTGAGTCTCAGCAACGTTGCTGGAGTCTTCTACATTCTGGTTGGAGGCTTGGGCTTGGCAATGCTGGTGGCTTTGATAGAGTTCTGTTACAAGTCCAGGGCAGAGGCGAAACGAATGAAGGTGGCAAAGAGTGCACAGACTTTTAACCCAACTTCCTCGCAGAATACCCAGAATTTAGCAACTTATAGAGAAGGTTACAACGTATATGGAACCGAAAGTATTAAAATTTAGGGGTAGGACTTAGGGCCTACTACAGTGAGTGGGTGATGCATCTTGTAACGCAGTGTTGTGACATGTCTGTCTAGTGGTGCTTGCTTCTGAACAGAGCTTTATATTTTGGAAAACTTCAATGCACAGTGGTTCAGTTTTTTTGGCTGCAGATGTACAGTATACTATTCTATGTTGCTAATAGACATCTGCATTGCAAGGAATTTTTAACATAAAAAATACATTTTTAACAACTCAATGTTGTCGAATCAGTTGAGAGATGACAACTATTTGAAATCATAAAATATATATTCAGAGGGCCAGTGTTTAATTACTTGATTGGCCAGTCTATTTTCCTAAAGGTTTGCACTCTACTAGTGACAAATTGCTGTAAGCCTTTATTATTCAATGTTGGCCCTAACTGGGACTTCATTATAATCAAGATTTAGGATAGGCAACATCACTGAACCATAGTTAATCTAACGGAAGACAAGGCACTGTTACAAGAAGTCTAAATGTTGTTTTACCTTCTCTCCCTCCTCCCCACCCTATTCCTTCACCCTCCCTTTGATACATGTTTTATGCTATTTGTGTGGCATTTTTTTCACAATATCCTGTTTCAGGTCATCCTTTGCCCACTATAATAACCACAAAAAGTCACTAACCAGTGAATAGACCTCGATTATCGTCCTCAGCTTTCAGTAGCATACCCCCTTACCTAGCTCAGGACTAGTGTATTTTAGACATTCACGCAGTGATTTCGGAGACTGAACTGCTGATGTTGCCAAGCTGCATCCTGCGTAGTTCCCCTGAGTAGGCGTGCAGGGATGGTTTACTAATGCACTTGTTCTCATCCATGCAGTGAGTATCTTGCCAACTAATCATTAGTCAAATCAACTCTCTGACCTTTGGAAATGGCACGTAGCAGCAAATTGAGCTTCTAAATATAACATTTACATAGCTCCCAAGCTATACTGGCTGCTTTATAAGTGAAGGTGCAGCTAGGACCCTGCCCTTTCGTGCTACCTAGAGCTTCCGTGCCCTTGCAAATAGCAAGCCACATGTCTCCTGTGTTAACAAAAAGCTTGAGCTACATTTTCCTGAAATCACTGAGCCATCCCTATAGTGGAAGTAAGAAACAAAAATTGAGGGAAAGGAGATGAAGAATATAATTTTTGTGTTGCCACCTAGAAAAATTTTTGGAGGAAACAACTGGAGATACAATTATTATTTTTTATTTATTATTTATATAGCGCTGGAGTACACGGCGCTGTACAATAGGTGAAGTGTGCCAAACACATAACAGGTCCCTGTCCCGAGGAGCTTACAGTCTAAAGGCACAGCCGGTACAATACCGAACCATACAGTACAGAGCAAACACAGAGTGAGCAGAGAATGGTGTTTGAGCATGATAGCTGGAGCGCTGCAAGGAATAGGTGGGTTCTCGGGGGGCGAGGGAGGGGGCTTGGCATACGCTGGTTGGGAAACTATCCCAAACGTACTGTCACTGTGTAGTTTTCTTTTGTTCCCTGTTGTACAAGAAGTCATGACCCTGGGTATATTTCAATTGTAACAGAGCTGCCTAATTTCCCCATGTAAAAAAAGCGCCAGTCTTAGCTGTGCACTTTGTTCACTAGTGAAAATGTGAGGCAGAGTAAGTGTCAGGGGGACTCCACGAGTATAGGCCAGTGTTCATTACTGTGAACTGGGAATCAGGACTTCCAGATGCTAATATTGATCTCCCAAGTTCACTGCCTACTGTCAGTAATAAGGGTCTTAAAAAGAAATAATCCTGTGCAAGCAATTGTGCAAAATGCAGATGAAGACATCTTTTTCCTTTAAATTCTGTAGTGAAGTGCCCAGAACTGAGAGTGTCCCCAGGCTGATATAAAAGTCCTAGAAAACATATCCCTTATTAAGTTTACAGGGTGCAATGCATCCGAAACATAGTCTTAAAGAAAGCAAACAAAAAACCAAAGCTTTCATTCAAATACTGACCTGACCCAAACTGGCTTAGCACGCTAAACATGGCGTGACTTGACAATGCCCTGAGTTCCCACCCAGCTCTGTGATTCCAGTGCAACAATCACTATGATTATACTTGCAGAATTTATTTTAGCCTTACTGTTTTCTTGAAATAAAAATTAGGGCTAACTGAGTTTTATTTTTTAAGGAAAGATCATAAGTACCTTTCTTTAAAGTTTAGATTTTTGTGGGACTTGTTGCAAGACAGAGATTAATTCTTATAGGAAAAAAGTATGTAAAAAATGCCCACATTGCATTTTATTTTATTGAAAATTGATGTTTGGGTCAGTCAAAACTTCTGATAATCTCTAAAAACATTTTAGTGTGCAGACATTTAAAAATTCAGAAAATAAATAGAAATAACTAGGATCTTGAGTGAATATTTATAGACTTCTGAAATTCTTCATTCTACTTATTTGCCATAATATTTACAGCGAAAAATTGCTGAGAAATTTCAGCACGTGAACTTCTTGTAAAAACGCCTATGCGTAGATGTGGAAGACTGCCACGGTCCAGTCACCCTCTCCTGGCAACACCTGGCCATCCCTAGGCACACAGGCGGCGAGGGGTTGCCTGTGTGCTGTGCTTGGTACAGGCTGACTGTGCCGTCTGTTCGTACACACGCTGGTCAGAAACCCCTGTTAGCTGGCAGCAGTACAGAGCCCACTGCACTGGTTACGCATACTTCTGCAGACATGTGTCTATCTTACACATTTCAAAACCTTTGATATGTTTATTTATCCAAGGAGTAAAGGGATCATATTGGGACTAAAACTTGCTAATATGGAAAGATGCTTGCGGTTCTACCCTGCATGAATAACCAACACACTGACTTTTTAAGCTAACATCAAATAATTTCAATAGTATGTGTTTTAAACTAATATAAAATAGTTTAAATAACCCACTTGACAATTAATATTCATTACCATGTTTTTTTCTTTTAGTTTAATCCAGTCAAAAGTGAGTTGCCTCAGGGAAATTCACCTGCCTGTGAGGCAGCAGAAAATGAAAATGTAGGACTAGTCTGTACGTGTGGGATGAAGACATTCAGAAGGGATAACAGGCTATTGCATCTGCCTAGGGCGGGGAAGGAAGTTTGCTTTAAGGACGGAACAATCCCTTCCTCTTCCCCTGGGCAGCAGTTTTCCACTTTTGCGTATTAGTAAGCCCTCAGTACACTAGTTGAGCTGATGCCATGAGAACAGTGCAGAGCCTAACAGCCTTCTCTCCAGCTGCTCTAGGGAAAAGCCCTACTGAGTTCCTCACCCCAAACCCACAGCCTTTTGAAGGGATTGTCCCAGTATCCAGCCAGCCACCACCACCGCCTCTCCATGCCCTTCTCAGTGGGCCATGAAGCTCATGAACGAGCTTCCAGTTCAACTGCTTTCTCTTGCTCTCCCATCCCACGCTGTTGTTTATAATTAATGAAATTAATTACAAAACTACAAAAAGCAATGAAAAAATTATGAATTTAATCACAAAAAAGGTGAAGTGCTACAGGATGGCTCAGTAAATGTGTAATGCACTTATTTTGACTTGTATGCTTCCAATTTCATATTCAAGATGGAAAAATTCATTAAAAGTTCATCTTAAATATTTGTGCCAAAGACACCTTCATGTGACCCAGATACTAGAGGAGCCTGAAGAACAAAAGAACCCACACAAGCTAAGATATTTGTATTATATAGACTGAGGGTATCAGTTTTTATTCCCATTTCCCAACAGGAACAGGGCAGTCAGTGTTTTCACATGATTAATTCCACAACTAATTTAATCAAAACTAATGACAAATTTGAAAATACATTATCATTATTAACGGCATACACTCACAGCACAGAGACTTTCACAATTTGGGTAATATTTACAGTAAATACCAAGACTTTTCCCTCTCACCCCAGCCTCTCCTGAAACTGTTTTTGCAGCCAGGCTATAAATCTGAAATTGTAACAGCACAGTTAAGCAGAGTATTAGCCTGGCTTATTACCTATAGCATCATTTAAAATATAACACAGAAGCTTACCTGGTTACTTGGCTTTATGGCACCTTCCCGAGTACAAGTTTGACCTGCTGGCTTTGTTAACTTTGTTTCTGTGGTGCGTTGCTGAGTTGTTGTAAATCTCTGCTGTGAGAAGGGAAGAGTTGTTTTATTGCAGCTTTTTCTGTTATTCTGTGGAAGGCTGCTGAGAAATTGTTTGTTATTCTCATTTGATTTTTTTTTTTTTTTGGTGGATCTCTTTTTACTGTCTTCCTGTCCTGAGTGTGTTGTCAATGGCCAGAAAGCTATATAACAGACTGAGCTACAAAACCACAGTTATGCATAGCTCGTATATCCCATATAAATCTGAGTTGTCTCTCAGATTTCCCAATGGCAAACCCTGAATGGCCATGAATAGATAGCTGGTCAAAGTGATGGAGAGACGCTGGTACGTAACGATGACTTTCTGGGAAATTTAGCACGTCTGGAGTAAGCTGTCCCTTTTCCACCCAAGTTTTCATTGGAACCTGGTTTCGACTCTCATCCCTCCCCAAAACTAAAGCACATGTTTTTTCTTGCCATTGACCAAAACACGTTCTGTGTATTTCTGCAGGCAGTTACCAGTCCTCGACATCCATTTGCAATGGAACTCTGGACGTGCACTATGTGGAGCTACACCACGTTGCATTGTGTCTGTGCTTTGCAAATGCATAGATTTTTATTTGCTGCTGGGGAGTAGTTGAGGGGTTTGGTACTGTATGGACCCAGGTCCCCACTCCCTCGTTACCTCTCTCTTTTTATATCTAGCTGTTGAATTAGGTCAAGATATGTTTGGTAACAGTCCCTGTCACAGAGTACTGTGGCAGCAGGGAAATTTTTCAAAGGGTGACTTTGGACATTGCAACTGATGATTATCAAAGCCAAGGTTTTTCAGCATAAAGGGAATGCCATAATGCCCTCTGTAAGCGGAAGCATTTTCCTGAATTTGGCTGGTTGTGAGGGCTGAGGTTTTTAGGGTAATTGATTCGGAAAGTTGCTTTTATAGCCAAGCTCCAGCTGTGCCACAACAGCAGCTGTACTTTCAAGAACTCTTTTTTGAAGGAGCTACTGATAGCAATGCAATATTAGATTGCTGCATTTTCATAGAAGTGCACCCGGAAGCAGTGGAAACATTTGGGAGTTTTAAGGAATCTCCCTCATCCCTATACAGACACAATCATATATAAAATTGACTTCAGCATATCAAACACCAGCTCAGGATTTCACTGCTACCTCAGAAAGAGAAACCGGGCTCAGAGGGACAAAGTTCTAAATGCAGAGATCAGTAATAAGGCAAATAAAATGATTTTATGTTTGTCATCCCTTTGCTCCTATGTCAATGCACCCTCCTGTCTCTCTTTGTCCAATTGGTATTTCAGATTGCATCCCTGCACACCAATTGCATGATTTAGTTGCATAGACTATAGCTTCTGCTGACTAGAAGTCAGATTTCCCCACCACCTTAACATGATATCTTTAAAATCTGTTTCACCATAGCATAGTTTGGGCGCCTGTTGTTCCAGGTGTCCCTGCTGCATGGGTTGACATTAGACAGCTCCCCTAATTTTAGTCATCATAAACTAGTCATCTTGGCTTTTTCTGTCATCACATGAGAGACCTCTTTTAGATTAGGTTACTGATTTTTACATGAATAAAGTTAGATGGCATAACTACAGATCTTTTTTTTAAACAAATCCAAATTTTTTGCCTAAGTCAGTTAGTCCCTAAACAAGATATTCTGTTCTGATTTACCTGAAAGTAAAGATTTTGAGGTAAAAAAAAAATTAAACTTTCTTGTGGAAAATTTAGACCTAAGGTAGAAAACTATAGAAAACTGTATTTTCTCTCAATAAACTACATTTCCTTTGAAAGTTCCCACCTTCTCTAATTGTAGGAAAATATATCTATGAAAAGAGATTTGAGGACAGTTCTCAGATTTACGGGTACTAAATATGTGCATTGTGAAAAGAAGTAATAATTTCTTTAGATTTCATCCATTGAGTTATCACAAAGATAGCTGATATAGCTATTGCAATTTATAAACAATTTTCAGTAGTTATATTTTATCTTGACATTCCTAGTTGAAGGTCTAAGCCTATAAACACCTGTGCATGACTTTATTCACAGATGCTAATGCCTTCAGGTTCATAAAAGGTCTTGATTCTCATTTCACTGTATATAAATATAGTTTGAAGCAGTTTAGATTAAGGTATTGCCTCTTATGTTAATTTCTTGATTGAATTCGGATTTTATATTTAAATCAGTAATGATTTATTGTAATGAAATTTACCCTCAGAATTGCTAGTCTTTTTTCCCCTAGTAGACTTAAATGCTATGTATTATATTGATGATGATTACTATTATTATATTTAATGTTAACATGAAAAAATGCAGATGTCTAAAATTTAACATTTTGGTGTTTGCTGTGTCCTGGTTTGCTGAAGGACAGAAACATTGTAACACTTTTCTCCTTTTTTTTCAAACCTAGCTTACCTTTTCTGAAGCCATAAGAAACAAAGCCAGATTATCCATCACAGGGAGTGTGGGAGAAAATGGACGTGTATTGACTCCCGACTGCCCGAAGGCCGTGCATACTGGAACTGCAATTAGACAAAGTTCAGGATTGGCTGTAATTGCATCGGACCTACCATAAAAACCAAAAAAATAATTGAGTGCCTTAATCAAACTGTGTTGGTGACTGATGGGAACACAGCACAGACTGTAACGACATGGGAGTGTCATTGATGAACTAATAATTTGGCTGAGAAAGGGAAGTACGTCCAAATGCGCCAGACATCATCAGCAACAATGTGTGCATGAGCTCAGCTCGGAAACCCAAACTCAGATTTTATATCAGGAAAATTCATAATTTAGTTTTGTTGGGGGGTGGGGGCTGGGAAGGGCGTATTAACAGCAACAAATTTCACTTGAGTGGACTTAAAACTAATAAGACTTTCCAATTTAGCGCATTAAACTGTGAAGAACATGCTCAGAAAGGACAACATTTTGGTCTTTGTCTTGACAAAGAGAGAAAAATAGCTATAGAAGTCAATGAACATGCTAACCTGTGTCTCCAGAACATCAATATATACAATGGAAGAATACTCAGCTGTTCAGCTGTAGAAATTAATCACTAAACTGTGATAAGAAAATAATAAATATGTAAATCCTGTGAAAAAATAAAGAAATTATTTACATTTTCTTTGAAAAAAAGAGGAATATTGAAACATGCTTGCTTTTTAACTGATGTAAATTCGGTAGAGGACAACACAATTCTTTTTTCTAACCATCTTAGGGAACAATTCATTGCAATAATTGATATAAAATGCCATCACTGTAATAAAATTCAGAGACTTTTTTTTTATAAAAGTTGTTGTTCATCCTCTTGTTTGCTGTTACCTTCATTCTGTTCCATCATTCTGTGTTCCACAGATTTGCATCTGTCTAATACAAGAAACAAAATGATAAAATGTTTAGAGTACGTCATCAGTCTGCAGTGTAGAATCAAAAGAGACTACGGGTCACTCATGTTACAGATATTATTTATAATCTTGTTCTGTGTAAGAAACTGTGGTTTTTGTACCCACCAAAAAGAATAAAACAACAAACGTTCTTATAATATCGACAGAGCTTGAGTTGTTTTCTGATCATTAGGGATGTCACCTGGTAAATTGAATAAGGTGGTTCGTTTCTTACCACAGGATGCAGGACCTTATCAGAGACAGTCTGAGTCCCTGCACATTTGGGAATGGCTTTTCAAGTCCTTAGAGAGGAGAGACTTGAAGCTGTTGATGTATTGTCATGATTATTCACTAGGTATTTTACTACTAGTCACTAAAACCCTTTTTGAGAGGCTAGGGAACCATTTAGTGATAGGGTTTGTTCTCTGGGTAGGTCAAGGGATGAGATACCAGGGAGCAGGAAAGTACAAACGACAGTCTGTCACTGATGTGGTAGATAGAGTGTGCTTGGTACCCAGCAACCTCGGTTTTCATCAGCCAGTCTTTCAGTGGCACACCAGGGAAAGGCGAGCAGGCACTGTTTGAATAAAAGCCAAATGTCGACAGGAGCAGGCATGTCTGTAGGTGTGAAGTTGTAGCAAGTCTCTTCTGCAACGGTCATTCTCCTTGGCCACACTGGACACTGCAGTGGTCTCCAAATCTGGAGTATTGCCACCAGTGTAACAGCTCCATGCCGAAGCCCAGACCACAAATCAGATCAAACTTGGATTAATCATAGCTTCTACTGCCTCGTGATTTTGCCAGGCCCATGAGGGGTCATGTTCAGATGGCTTACACTTCACCAAAGCCTCCCTGGCTGGTGTTTCTCTCAGCCCTCAGGGCTCCAGGCCCTCACGAAGAGGAGTGTGGGTGCAGGATGGAGCCTAGTGCTGCCAAATGATGGCCAACCTTCAGCAACTGCAGCAAAGGACAACTAAACAAAAGTACTACTGAGGTGATACCCATCCTTTGTGATACAGGCATCTACAAAGTAGCAAAGCAGGTGTTAGCTTCAGTCGAGGTATTGACTATATAGATATGAATTACTTACCTCAAATACTCTAGACACCCTTTATAGTTACTGGAGGGGAATAATCAATGAGAGTGGAGTGAATGACTTCATCTTAAAATAGACATTAAAACATCAAACTGTGGAATCACAGCAGCAAGAGCCTGTATCTTTCCACTGACTATAATCTAGGCTGAGGGCGACCAGTTCTTATACAGAGCTTGACAGTGCAGGCAAAGGTGAAAATAAGATGATGCTTACCCCTAAGGCACAATGACTACAAAGTGTGCAGGGGTCTTAGAGAAAAAGACACATAACAGTGCAATGAATCACTTTGACTAAATGTACCTTATACCCTTGTTTTACTGGCATGTTTAGGTCATTCTTGAATTACTGTGAACTGTTTGTGTTTCTGTGGCTGGAATGGTGAGTGACGGTCTGGTTTTCCTCATGTTTGAGTAAAGCTGGGAGCTCCCTCCCAAATTTCTCTTTACAGCTGAATTTAAAAAGCAACTTCTGGGTTGTTTGGGTTTTTTGTTTGTTTGTTTTTTAAAAGAAAAAAAAGTGTTTGTCTTTATTTTTCATAAAGTAACATAGTAGAAATTGAACAGATTGGGAGACTGAGTGTGAAGGATGGTGTCTATTTTGTTCTACTGTGTAAGTCTGTTTTTCCAAGAGCTCGTCTTCATCCTTTCCTCATTCAGGACTGTGAGCAGTGCCAGTGCTGTCCTGGGATATTTCACTGTCTTCCAGTGTTACTCCTCTTACATGCTCCCTTGTCTCTTTAATGCATTACATCTATTTTTCACCTTCAGTAAACAGCCCATCGCTGCAGTTACGAATGTCACTCCATGGAGCCCATCCTTAATTGCCTAAGTCAGGTTTCCACTTGGCAACAGGACCCCCAAGTCCTTTGAGGTGCCTTGTCCAGTGTCAGTAACTACCGAGGAACCCCACTGAGAGGATTCACAGTCAAGCAGCATGAGCAATGCAGCCGCCAAGCAGCACGGCCATGGAGTGGCATGACCCACCAAGGGCATGCAGCCAGCAGCCACGGGGTGGGGAATTGCCACATCCTCTTACCACTTCCAAGCCTTGTCCTTCGCAAGGGGATGCTTTGCTCAAAGAAAACTTGGTCAGATGAGGTGAAGAGGAGACTGTGACTTTGCCTGATGCCTGTCATAAAATACCATAGATATAAAATAGAAAAAAAAGAAGAAAACAAGATGCAAAAATGCTACAGCAGAGAGAGTTGACTAGAAATCAGGTGGTTGAGAAAGCAATCTCAGGGTATCGGTCTTCTGTCTCCACAGTAGCTTACTCTGTTGTCTTATTCCAAGGGGGTAACCACTTCATGACTGCTATGACCATCTTCGTATATCTATCTTAACTGCCCCTCAGACAGTTTTTCTTTTGCTTTTCCCACTTCTGAAACATTCATTTCTCACTCCTCTCTGTATCATCCCCTCATCCTTTGGAAGATCAATGAAGTCACCCTCCTCCCTTGTGTAGGAAATATAACCCAAAGGAAGAGAACCCTTCCTCAGGTCAGGTTCAGGAATCCCATGGTCTCCAGTCCTCCAGAGGGTCTAGGGTCTGTCATTAGACCAGATCTGCTCCAAGGCACCAAGAAGCAGCAGTGCAGCTCCTGGCAGCTTCTGGGTTGCATCCCACCCTCCCAGCACAGCCGTCTCAGCTCTCCTCCATCCCCCTGTCTTGCTCTCTCTTCAGCCACCTCAATCTAGCAACTTCATGGCAATCACTGGCTCAAAGAGAGAAAAAAATAAACAAAGGAGGCTACTGATTAAAGGGGATTATTAATATTGAGGCATTAACTCAAATATCACCCACATTTTTCCAAGATTTTTCCCTTAAAATAATGTGTCCTCTGAGCTGGTGTGAATCATACTGTAAGACAAGCCTGCTTGGATGTTCACTGTTATATTAGTTAGTTTTCATTCTACACATTCAAACCTCCCACACTGGTGGTGTATTCTATTAAACACCTATTAAATTCAAAATCGGTACAGACTTGCTGGGTTGTCTGAGGACCTCACATGCAAAATTAGTCTTACACAAATGCTTGTTATTGCTGAATTTCACCTACAGACTACCCTGGGAGCTGAATGTACATGTTCTGAAGTTGAATTTGCCTCAGTGCAATTGAGAACAGAGCCTGGGGAAAGGAGTACAACTTTATACAACTGATTGTAATCATTGTGTGTGGTGAAGGAGGAGATTGGTACCTGTTCACCTCTGTTCCTTAGCAATTCTGTACTGGTTTCTGCCCTGATAGGATGTCAGAATGAAGAGCAAATATTCTTTATTTTGGTGTAGAAACTCCAGGGTTTTTTCTGCCATCTCAAAGTGTAAGCAGACCTTCATCCCTGACTAGACAATTACAGCAGAAGGGAGCTCCTAAAGCTCTCAGCTAGCAGAATGTACCTACTACACTAATGCCAAAAGCAAGAAAAGAAGGGCAGCCTGCAAGGAGTTGCAGACATTTGTTGTAGACATGGATTAATTAACACTGTTACAACAAAACATGTAATTGGTATGCAACAGCCAGTTAAACTTCAGCTGGAATGTCTAAGGGTAAGAAGTCACCAGTGGAATTACAAATAGAAATTTAGAGTCACTTCCTTTTCTAAATGAAAGGAGTGTCAGAGACTCCAAATAACTTATTGATTTCATAACAATTGCATTGAATGTAAGGTCAGGCAAGCTGACACTAGTAAATAAGAATCATAGAATAATTTAGATTGGAAGGGACCTCTGGAGGTCATCTGCTTTAAACCTCCCTTTAAAGCAGATTCAGCTTTGAAGTTAGATGCTACTTCGAAGCTTGAGAGGCTTCTCAGGGGCAGTCCTATCAAAATTGTAGTATCTCCAGTGTTGAGATTGCATAACCTCTCTGGGCAACCTCTTCCAAGTTCTGACCACCCTCAATATTTTCCTAAGTTCAAAATTTTCCTAAATTTTTTTTTTGCTCTGCATTGAGAGTGCATTCAAATGTAGCAACACATATTCCAAGCTGCTTACTTAAACACAAATGTGTATTATTATTTGTGTAAGTGAACTCAGAATCTGGACGGATCTGTTAGATGAGACTAAGGCATGCTGTCATCACACTTCAGAGAGGTGTGCACTGCTGTCAGCTTTTCCTTATGTCTAAAACGAGGATTCATGCTCCTAGCTCACCAATTCATCATCTTCCATTAGCACCAAACATTAAAATGTTATAAAGGCCATACACTGAATGTCTTTTTAAAGTGATGTATATCCAATAGGTCTAAAGACCTTCAACAAGGCTAAACTGTTGGAGTGGACTTTAAAGTGCTTTAAGATGAATTATATATTTTCCTAAGACTTTGAAAAAAATTATACGACCTCTCAAGTTATTGTATATTTTAGCTATTGCTGTAAGGATTCCAGTGCTAAGGCCCTGATTCTATCCAGCCTTATGCCTGATACTAATTGTTTAAATTGATGCAAAATTGATGTAAAAATGCAACCACTAATGTCAATGGGAATGTCTGGTCTGGTGAGATTTTTAAACCTATTTTGGTCTAATTCTGTCGAAGTTCCAGAGAATTTGGAAGGCACAAGACTATAGCAGTTTAAATCCAGTAACTCCATTAAAAGAGTCTTTTTACACATTAGAGTAGTCATCAAGTCTGTAACAATGTAACAGAGGTGGTGTCTTCCCTTCTGTCACCATACCAAGATAAGTGAGAGACTTCCCATGTTTTGGTGAGCAGACTCCAAGACTGCAAGACTGCAAAAATTAATTTTTTGCCTGTATTGTAAAAGGAACACTGTTATATTCTGGTTACCTGCAATACTGTCAATTGCTAGAATTTCCCTAATACTTGATTCTAAAGCAACTATAAGAAAAAAAAATGCTTTTTTGGCTAAAAGGCAGAATCAATATTCTTCAAAAAAATCATCTGTTAAAACTCCATCACAAAGATTAAGAAATAACTGCTGGAAAGCCTAAAGAAAATTCAATGGCATTCTGAGAATACCTGATGATATTTGGGATGACACTCACTGACTTTAAACATCTCCCATGTAACTATCTTGGAACTTGTAGAATGCAGTACACCTGACTGATTTT